CTCTTGGAAGAGAAACGAAACGTTTCATTAGAGAAGAACCCGTCCAGAAGACCTATACAATTTTTTTCTTTTTGATTTTCTTCACTCTTTGCTTTTTGTTAATTCTGAATTAAAAAAAACACTTGTGATAATTTTAGCTTCATTTTTTGCCAAGTTTATCTTTTTTCTGCCTTTTCAGCTATATTTCCATTCTTTAAGCTAGTCTGCTAATTTACTTTTCTGTGCTTCAATCAGCTTCTTTCTGCTAATTGAAACTTATAATTCTTTTTTAGCTGTTTGCTGCAATTTTTACGTACTTTATAGCTATTTTCAACTAATTTTASCTTTTTTCATCTAAATTCAAATTTTGTGATTAATTCAGTAATGTGCTCCTTCTTTCAGCTTTTTCAGATACTTGTTTTTTTCTAATTTAAGCTTTTTTCCTATATCTTTCAGCATTAAACATTCACACTGCATTTTCACAGAAAATTCTAACTCTCTAGTTAACATTTGGAGTAAACTATTTAAAATGGCCACAGCTAATTGAACTTAACCAACTAAAAAGTGACCACAACTTTCACATTTGAAGTAATATTAAAGTTTGTGTCTGACAGTAAAACATTGTGTTTTACAGTTAAATAAAAAAGTCCACTCAGATTATAATTTACAGGGTAAACATTTGAACAAATGTGATAGAGAAATTTATTTATTTAGGCTAACAAAATAATCCAAATTAAAATGTTCCTTATTGGTGCCATTTAAAAAAAAACAATCAAGCTATAAAACTTAACGTAACATGATCTTTGTGCTTTGTTTTGAGTTTATCATGGTTAAAGTGCACCCATTAGAAATCCTTTGTTTACTCCCATTTTTGCTCTTGTTTTCTGTAAATGAGTTTCTGTTTGAGGAGCTCAGACAGCAGATAGTCCTGTGTTTCATCAGCTGGGACTTCAAAGCTCTCCTTTTTTCCTCCATAATTGCTCTCATTGTATAATTACTTAGATAATAGATGCATTTCTGTGGGGAAAAAATAACATTTTGAGGACGTGACGAGACTTTGCYAGCCAAGGGAAGACAGCAGTTTAATTTCCATATGGTAATATATGTACCTGATTGTTTCTTTTGGCGAGGCCAGAGCTCTGCTCTTGGTTTAATGAACCTCGGAGATGTGCAGGAAAACAGAGATGAGCTTCTCATCTTTTGTCTCCGTCTGAGCCGGAGATGTTGGACCATGTTTTCTTTCTCTTCTCATCCCAGTCCGGGGGGATTTTTCATTAGGTTTATCAGAATCAGAGTTGATTTATCATGGAGTTCTGCATCAGCGTGTAAAAATGAAGTGTGTTGTGCAGTGGAGCATCATATGCACACAGAGCGGAGCGCGGTGATGAAACCTGCGGCGCTCCCCTCATTAAACTACAAGCAGTTACTCTACCATGACAGAGCAATCAGCAGGACCGGGTCAACACACACACACACACACACACACACACACATACCTGAAGAGAAATGAGATCATTTTGGCCCAACGCACACCGTGGATTTTTAAAGGGGAAAGATGACAATGCGAATAAAGTTTGACCGAACTGGAAGTTTCACAGCTGAGATCACAGAGATCCTAACATCAGTCAGAAATCCTGCTGCGTCGCTCCACAGGCGTCTCTGGTGCTGCTGCTTTCATCTCGCTGCCCTTTTGAGTCGACTCATCCAGCCAGTCACTCCCTTTTTTCTTCCCTGCTCCCTAAATATTTACAAAAGATTAAAAAAGGGAGTTAAATTTTTGGAAAAGTGGTACTTGTTTATGACTGCGGCGCTGTTTTTAAGCTGTTACAGTTTGTCCATTTGTCTACATGATGATTAGATTTATTTTAGGTGTCAGAGAGGACGTTTCTGGCAACCCCACACAAAGGTATGAAATCACCTGAATGGTTGAATTTAATAGTGTTTCTGCTATAGTGCGAGATGAACAACAGTAACAATGGTGGATAGCAGCGTGCTGTTTGTTCTGCTCAGCTTTTTCATCATGTAGGAGTTACTCAAACTCACTCACAGTCCAAATGAAGATACCTTTTTCACTATTTTTTATGTAAATGTTTTCATGCTCTGGCCTGAAGTGTCTGTAAGCATGAGGGTGTTGATGAAATCTAAAAACCACAGCGCCAGCTAGTGACCTGGCATAGAAACTACAGCAGAGTCAAGGCTTTTTTGTGTGTTTTTGTCGTTTATTTATTTATTAGGTAATATTCTGTGACAGATTTGTTTATGCATCTTTATTTGTTAAGTTTGATAACTAAAACGACTGGAGAACTAACATAGTCCTTACTTTAGATGCCGACCAGTCCATTTTCTCCCCCAAACTGGCACCAGGTGGAGCACTAAATATTAAAGAGACTGAGGGGTTTTATCATCTGCTACCAATGTTTCCATGTTTTCAAGTATCATTGGCTATCTGAAGGTCGACACAAAGTTTCGTATTAATGTTTAAATAAAACAACTTTAAATGTTTAGCTGTTTGCCAACCATGACGTCTGCACATAAATTGATTTAAGGCTATTYATAGTGAACTGATGATCACAGTGATGTCTTTTTTTTTTCTTTGTCCAGATTTTCATATTTGAAAACAACATCTACTACAGATCAACAGTGGCGAGCCGATCGATCCGCCTGGTTTCCACCGGGAAAGAAGGAGTCGTCTTTAATGGTCTGGCCGACTGGCTGTATGAAGGTAAGACAACAGTTTGTAAAACTGTTAAATATAAAGTCACGTCTATATTTAGAGGCTGATGACGTTGTGCATAAAGAAATCTAACATGTCTAATTCAGAAATTTGCAACTTTTATCRTCAAAGGAGTCATTTATTCTTTTTATTCCACCAAATAACATTTGTCTAGAGGCACAAAATAGACTTGAAGTGTAAAATATAAAGAAAATAGCCTATTAGGTGTTGTAAAAATATTACAATCAAAACCTATAATTTGGTAAACTAGGAAATTAAAAATTAGCAAAACTATTTTCATGTCTGTTAGTATTTTTACATGTATTTAATTTAAATTTATCAAATGTAAACACTGCAGYCCCTGAGAGTGCTTTTTATAGTTATGTCAAATTAATAATATAAATACTTTACTTTGAATTATTAATGTATATTCCACTACCATTCTAATAAATCTTTAAAGCAAACATGCAAAATTGGTTGAACTTTACAGGAATTGTGACATTTTTTCTCCATGATAAAGGCAGGAATCTTTATTTACTTCAACTTTCGTATTTTAATCAAAAGTCAAAGCTGCAGTTTTTGTTGTTCCCCTCAGCAATTTGCCTCAATATGTAAAATAAAAATAATATTTTCAGATGGATTTCAGAGAAACATGGCTCTTTGTGGCTGAAAGTTAAAAGATGAACATGTTTTCCTTCTTGTTATATCAATATCTTTATAGACAGACATTTCATTCATGTATTCACATAGAAATAATTTTTAAAAGTCTTTTTATTTTGGGGTTATGACTATAAATATGAATCTTTTTCATGTTATTCTTTGTCAAAGCCACTACAGAGAGACAAAAGAGCCACAGGTTGCAGACTCCTGGTTTAATTTATTGTGTTTTTATGCAGCTGTTACTCCAGATTACAGAATGAAAGCGTGYCGTTACTTGACAGCCAGAAGCACAAAAAGGAAACAAATTCAGATTTAAGGCTTGAGCATTTATTTGTAGATAAATAAAGCCATACACAACCTTTCAGCTGGACCAAATACAGACCTTGATTCAGTCATGGAGTATTTGGTAAAGAATCTAAACAAAAAAGCACATATTTATCCAGCATTCTTCTGAGCCGGCCCCTCATGGGGCAAAGATGTCACATTGATAGGGAGGTCCTTCTCTATCCAGGACCTGGACCTTAACCAACAGTTTTGCAACCTGATGAAAAAAGCATTTTTGTTTGTTGTTTAGTGGAAGGCATGTATTAACTCTGTCCCTTTTTAAAGAACAGTCTGTTCTAAGATGACCTGAGACACGAGTCACTCTGAACAGAGTGCACATCAATTAATCACAGCTTAATCACAGTACATAAAGAGATATAATTGTACATTTAGATGATCAAAAATAGTCTAGATATTTCAATAGAAAACAAGAATGTGTAGTGCCTTTTAAAGAATCAGTGTTAAACAGATTAAATTTTCCTTTCACATGTGTAAACCGTAGCCATAGACTTTAATATATAGATCACTAGACTGAGTCCTGCCCATACCGTACACTGGTAGCATCAACAGATCACAGCCTCCATAGAAACTAACAGATAAACAACAAGCTGAACTGGATCTGTTGCACAGATTCTCGGTCATGTTTTTACAATAAATTAATAACTATGTTAATTTCATTCAACAATCATGTAAAACAGCAGATATATACCAGAAAAATATATAATTTATAAATAACAATGATTTAAACCAGACCTTAATTATTTCTTCTTACTGTCATAAATAATAATATATATTTACCAGTCAACATTTAGAAAATATTATCTGTATACCTGCTTATAAGATGAAACTTGTCTCTATTAGCTTCTCAACATGTCAGGTTCCTCTAACAGAAACCTAAAAATGCTCACATTTATAATATTTTGTGGGTCTAAATATTAATCAGAG